GGTCTGCCCCAGGACAAGTGTGCTCAGCACAGAGAGACAGAGAGACAGCGAGGAACTGCCCCTGAGGGTGGCCAGGACAGTCCCCTCTTCCGTCCTCTCCTCAGAATTTCAGGCACACACACGCCTGTGATTTTCAAGCTGTGAGTCCGGGACGCAGACCGCAGCCAGCCACGTGGGAGACCGGTGCCTGGGCCCTGCTGGCCCTCCTCCCTTAACTGCCCACAGACACGATTCTTAAGAGTAGGCCACAGCATCTCCCCATCATGGGACTTGAAGGGTAATGCACTGCGGCCCGGACAGCCCGGGGGAGCAGCCCGCCCACATCTGCACCCCTGCCCTGACCGCACGGGAGCCAGCACCCCGGAAAATGGCACAAGGGATTTTAAAGATGAAGTACATTATTATTGCCTCATTTTATACTATAACACGTAGTATTCTTTGTTAGGGCTTTCATCAGAATAGTGATTTGGGGGCCGTGGGTGATGTGGCGAAGGCACTGGGCACTCCTACATGGCCGATCGTGGTTCGAGTCCCGGATCTGGGGGCTCGCTTTCTCATCACCCCCCGCCCCCATTAAAATGAATGAATAAAATTAAATAAATAATTTTAAAACAGTTATTTGTTTTTAAGTTCAACACTGTGGAGGGTGCTAGGCTGAGGTGATCTGTGAAAGCCACTTACTGATCATTACTTTATGACAGGAAATAAAGTAAATTAGCGTTTAAAATGCCAGGAGGACACGAAGAGAAAGCAGCGTAGTCCCCAGGGTCGGAAACAGAACATCTGAGTACCAAGTGCAGGAAGAAGCCAAGAAAAGAAAGCGGGCTGCCGTCCAGGGCAAGGCCGTTTCTCCCGGAAGCTGGCAGCCTCCTGAGCAGCGAACGGGGCCGAGTCCAGGGTGGGAGAGGCAGGGACACTCACCCAGGGGCACGCGGGCCGCGCTGGCGTCCGGGTTGATCCAGAAGGAGAGCCAGGACAACACCACGATGAGCAGGGTCGGGGCGTAGACGCCCATCATGTAGAAGCCCACCTGCCTGCGCAGGGTGAAGATGACCTCCACGCAGGTGTAGTACCCTGTGGAGACAAGGGTCGGTCGGCCACGCACAGCACCAGCCCCGCCCGCCTGCCTGCCTGCGCAGGGTGAAGGTGACCTCCACGCAGGTGTAGTACCCCGCGGAGACAAGGGGTCGGTCGGCCACACGCAGCCCCAGACCACCCCTGACAGCCGAGAGTCCACCAAGGCCCTTCTTTACAGAAATGGGAGGTGTGTGGCGTGGCTCAGAGGGCAACATTCGGGGGCTGCTCACCCACCTCTTTCACAACAGAGAAATGCCCCAGGCAGCTCCACCCTCCTGGTGCCCAGGGATCACGGCCTTCTGCAGAGGACCTGCCACAGGCCCCACTGTCCTGCCCCACTGTCCTGCCCCACTGTCCTGTCCTGTCCCACTGTCCTGTCCCACTGTCCTGCCCACACTCTCCTCGGGGGGCAGGACATGGAAGCAGAGCCAGGGGAACGCTCCTGCCTGCCCGGCATCCATAGGACTTGGAGTTCATGGCCACCTATCACCTAGGGAGGGGGCAGCTGGCACAGCCACTTAGACCGGAAGCCTGTGCACAGTGAGGAAGCGGGGACGCAGTGGGAACCAGGAGGCAGTGTGGTGGGTCAGTGCCTCCCCTCGCTCGCCCACCCTCCTCTCCGGCTCTGCACGGCCCTCCGTGACCCAACGGACCGGGGCGTCTGTGCCGAGACCACAAATCCTAGAGCTGCCACGGCCTCCGCCAGCCCCCAGATTAAGCCCAGGTGTGGGCAGCCTCACCACGGCCTTCCCGCTCTGAGAGAGGGAGTGAGGCCATTACTGTCACTGCACCACTCGGGGAGGGGACCTACAGGTGGCTTTGATGTGTCCACCCTTTCAGTTTCCACCTTTCCCTTGCAATACACTGTCCAGTGCCTGAAATGCTCAGGGTAGAGAATAACGTCGTACCGTTTCCTGTAAGTAGGATAGGCATGAACACCACCAGGTTAAAATAGCTGGTTATCTTCCATTTAAACCACACATAATTATTTTAAAATGTTGAAACAAATAAGTGAATGTACAGTGAGTAAATGAAATAATTATGGGGAAAAGGAAAATGTTACTCCTACTGTGTGTTGCCAGCGTCCCCGCGGCTGCCAGGCCACCGCACAGCATCAGTGCCGGTGCCCGGAGCGCTCACACGGGAGGCTCTTAGTGAGCTCTGAAGAGGAAAGACTGGTGACCGCTCCAACGGAGAAGCCTGCCCTCCCGGCCACGGCCCTGCTGCTCTGAGAACTCAGGTGCTGAAGGCCAGCAGGCCCAGCAGGCCCCGGCCACTTTGAAAATGAGGACAGCCTCTGAGGGGACGCCTGGCCGGCCTGAGTCCCGGGAGGTCTGAGCGAGTGGTTGGAGCAGGACCCAGGCTGGGCAGCCAAGGGCTCAGGACCACGCTCGGGAAGGGCCGGTGAGTCTCCCTGGCTGTGGGGAGGAGGGCCGGCACCTGCCACAGCCGGTGTTTGTAAACGCCAGGGCGCGCGAGCTGAGACGGGCGTGGTGCTCGCTGCCCTCCCCGAGCCACGGCGGCCAGCCAGATAAACTCCCTTCCTCCCTGGCCCTGCGTCTGTCCCCTCGGCCACGAGAGGGGCAGGGGGCTTCGTTCACAGTTAGTGATGGTAGAGCTGAAACACGGCAAACGTCATTCGTGGATTTGGTCCTTCGCGGGTGTGTTTGAGAGCCGATGACGGACATCACCCGGCTTCGCCCCCGAGGGGCCTCTATCGCAGCACGGTAAACACCAAACGTACTTCTCGCAACCAGAAAGAAGTTTTCGTGACATGTGCCCTTCCAATATCATGGCGGAGGTATCTAGCCCCAATGTCTGACCTCTCCAAGTCTTACACAGTTAATCACGTATTTTATTATTATTCAAGTCAACACAGATGCCGTAGTGAAGTCAAACTGCACATCTGCTCCGGAGTAGGGCTGGTCATCGTTACGTATCTGAGTGAGAGCGATGTGGCGGTGCGACGCTGACCGGGCACTGCCGGGCACGGAACAGCTGGCCGACTCCCCACCACCCTGCCCGGGGCCGGGCGGCAGGCTTAATAGGAGATGTTCTGCCTGCCGTGACTACCCGGTAGCTCTCGGGCTGTGCAGAGACAGGCCCCAGAGCCAGCAGCGAGTCCTGGATTTCCTGGGGACACTCATGTGGTGAGACGAATGGGAAGCTCAGAACTTCAACAGGCAGTCACGTTTCCGAGCACAGCGTAGACGCCGGGTTCTGAGCTGTTCAGCTCCCCTCTGGATGAGGTGGCTGCTCGCACAGGGCAGTGGCTGTCACAGTGGTCGACCACGCCATGCAGACTCACCACCCGGCCTCTGTCTAACCAGGCTACCGACGGCCCAAGGGCAACGCTCTCTCAAACTGGTTCACGGGCCGATCAGCACCTTCACTAAGAACTGCCCGGAGGGAGCCCACGAATACATGGTCACAGTGTTCAAATCCAAGCGCTCAGCCCTGGCACGACTGCCGTCAGAGCGGACCTGGGCAGGGCCGAGGAAACCACCCCGGGTGTGAGCGCATGGACACGTGACTGAAGCCTGCCCCCGCCAGGACGACTGGAGGGGGTGCACGTCTGCTGGTAGCTGAGCGCTCAAAACCGTTTGTCAGCAGTGACAGCACCAACCTGAGCTCCAGGAGTCCGTGGCCTGGCATGCTCTCCACCCACTCCCTTCACCCTCCCGGCACAGTCGTGTCCCCGTGCTCGCCCTCACAGCACAGCCGTGTCCCTGCACTCACCCTCCCAGCACAGCCGTGTCCCCGTGTCCCAGGATGCCCCTCACCTGTGCCTTTGTAGTACTTTGTGCAGTTGCCGTACTCGATGTCCTCCTTCTTGATGTCGAACTGCGGCAAGGCGATCTTTTCCAGCTGCACCGGGTCGCCTGACTGCCAGATGAAGCGCAAGTCGTCGGTGGTGTAGCCGACTGCAGGCAAAGCATGAGGACGTCAGCCTGCGGTGGACTGAGTTCGCAGCTCTGCACAGGTTAACCTTCCTCACAGCAAACTAGGACCTTCTTTTTGGGGGGAGAGGTTTTTGCTGTAGGGCGTGTGTGCTTGCCAGACAGACAGAGAGAGACAGAGAGACAGAAAGCGAGACATCACCTCCCAGGAGGGATGGTCACGCTGCAATCCCTTCTCCTCCATTCTCCTCTTGGGATCTTGGGCACGCACACACATGCACCCAGTGTGAGTTTAAGCCCCCAGGTCCAGACACGAACCGCGGTCGACTACATGGGAGTCCAGCGACAGAGCCATTACGCTAACTGCTGGTCCCTACTAGGACCTTCTATATCTAACCGTGGATTAAAGTGCAGACGTGAAAATCTATGGCCACGAGGGGATACTAGCAGGAGGTACGGGCCGCCCTCTCGGAGAAGAGGAAGAGGAGGCACTGACACCGCGGCACGAAGCACCCCAGGGCGCAGGGTCATGCGTTGCCCTCATCCGAATCCTGGTGGCCAGCCATGTGGCCACAAGTAAGCAACGCCCCTCCTCGGTGGGGCCTTCACGGGCACACAACCGGCTACATGGATGTTTTTAGCGAAACGTAAGCACCCAGACACTAAGCTTCTGAAGGAATCTCTGCAAACTTCCTTAAAGGAGTTGCCCCCCAGAGGAGCAGGACGGTTCCCTGAGGGGGTATCGCTACGGCAACACCTGGTCCCGGGACACGCCATGGGCTGCACAACGTGGCTCCCACTGAGGGCTTCACGGCCTGGCACGGTCCCCCACAGAGCTCCACAGAGTGCACTTGTTAAGCAACACTTTGGCCCATGCGGCTGTAGGATTTAAACGTAAAACAGCTGGAGTGTTCATAACAATGCATACTGACACCAAGGCACGCCTACGTAACATAGAAAAGCACATCCGCGTGCTCACGTTTGTCAAACTCCTCTTAAATGCAGAGAGTGGCAAATACTGTTCAAGTTTAGTATCACACCAGTGCATTTTAAACAAACAAGAAGCAATGCAAGAGGACGATGCAGCAAGAACTTGCGAGGGGTTTACGAGGCTGCTATTCCTCACTCTGCAGAAACAGGCCACCGTGTGGCAGTATTTGAGCTAATCATTCCATTACTGTTTGTTTTCCAAGATTTATGTCCTACATTTATTTTGAAAAGGTAAATATCACTCAAGTAAATAAATTTCAGAGATAATCATTTCTCTTAATAAACTTACTATATCTTTCATAAACTGAAAAAAAAACACACACAAATGATCATAGAAAAGGAAAATCCAATTTTTAAAGGACTTTTGCCATAGGGCACATATGTTCACCAGAGAGAGTGAGAGAGATAGAGAGAGAGAGAGGGAGAGAAATCTCCCTGGAGGGGGGGATTAACTGTGCCACATCCCTTCTCCTCCACTCTCCTTTCAGGAGTTTAGGCATGCACACACTTGCACCCAGCATGATTTTCAAGCTGCCTGGTCCCGGACTCAAACCGCAGCATCAGCGGGTGGGGATCCAACACCTTAACCACCATGCCACCTGCTGACCCAGAAAATCCAATTTTGCAAAAAATATTTTCAAATGTTTTTTCTTTGCATCCATAGACAACGAATGCTTAGCTGGATTTACAGAATATTTTCCAAAGTTCTTAAATTTTCCTCTATGAAAACATGGCTTTAACGTTGGAAAAGCTACTAAAATTAGGGCCTGAGTGCATCACTCAGTGGAGTATGGCTGGCAGTCAGCATGACGTGGAGAGTCCGCCGGTCCCTGGAGCCCCAGGAGACGGGCCATGGCCCTGGACGAAGTGCTCACGCAGAAGGGCCACGGTCCCTACCGACCATTCCATGGCTCTCTGCGGCCACAGGCTTTGCCACCGTGACGTCAGGTGTGACTGGAATGCCTTGCCTAGACATGGGAGCCTCTCGTTCCTATGGTTACTGCCTTCCATTCCCATGGTTACCACCTCCTGTTCCTGTGTTTACCAACTGCGGGTCCTGTGGTAACTACCTCCTGTTCCCGTGGTCACCACCTGCCATTCCTGTGGTCAGTCACCGCCTCCCGTGCCCGTGGTCACCACCAGTTACTCACAGCTCTCCAGCTGCATCTTGCAGCGCTGCGTGTCCATGGGGAACAGCGTCAGGTCCAAGGGGCAGGACAGGGTGATGGACAGCCTAAGGAGAAGAGGGTGTGGGTCACCTTGCGTGCTCCCCTGCGTCCCACCCGAGGAGGAAGGCGCGGCACGGGTGCTGACTACAGAGGGTACCGCATGCTGACGAGGACGTCTCCATCCCGAAAGATGAAGAGGAGGATGTTCTCCTGCGTGACGTCGTGGAAATTCGCACTCTTCTCATTCGCGAAAAATAAGTCGGGCTTCCACAAACACTTGTACATGGTGGGATCCACTGTCAGTGCGTCGGAGCCCCGGAAGTCACTGGGGAGCTTCAGCCGGGGGTCGTTCCACTTCTGCCTCAGGAAGATGTTGACTCTGTAGTCCTGGGGGGACACGGAGCACGTGTGTGACTGCAGTCCTGGGGAACACGGATTACGTGTGTGACTGCAGTCCTGGGGGACACGGATTATGTGTGTGACTGCAGTCCTGGGGGAACATGGATATGTGTGTGTGACTGCAGTCCTGGGAACATGTAACACGTGTGTGACTCTGCCATCCTAGGGGAACACGGATTACGTGTGTGACTGCAGTCCTGGGGAACTTGTAACGCGTGTGTGACTCTGCCATCCTAGGGGAACACGGATTACGTGTGTGACTGCAGTCCTGGGGAACACAGATGTGAAAATGTGTGACTCTGCATTCCTGGGGGAACACGGATGTGTGAGGAACACGGACATGTGTGTGTGTGACTCTGCTGTGCTGGGCAAACACAGACGTGTGAGTGAGTGACTCTGGAGTCCCGGGGGAATGCGGATCTGTGCGTGTGTGACTGCAGTCCCAGGGGAACATGGATGTGCAAGTGTGTGACTACGCTCCTTAAAGAACGTGCTCCTCCCAGAGTGGAGAGAGCTTTGGTACTGGCAGCACACGTGGACAAGGACCACGGCAGCTCGCTTTCCGACCACGAGCCCCACAGAAGCACAGCCACCACCCTGGGAGCCCGTGTCCCCAGACACCCCGACTCTCACCAGCCCCGACGCCTGCATGTGGCTGATAGCTCTCCCTTACACGAACACGGCTTCCCCCGCCTGCGGGGCCCTACCACAGAAGCACAAGAACTGCTGTTGCCATCATTCTCCTCGACAAAACACAACCTAGAGTAAAGTTTAGCTCGGAGTGGGGCCAGCAGACGGTGCGGCAGTGTGGGTGCTGGACTGCCAGAGCCGACTGCAATGCAAGTCCCAGGCCTGGGGGGCTTGAAAATCACACTGGGCCCATGCGTGTGTATACCCAAAACCCCAAAAGGAGAATGGGAGGGAAGGGGCTGCAGAGCGACCATCCTTAGGGGGTGGTTTCTCACTTTGCCTTTTACTGTCTCTCTCTGGCAAGTGCATGTGCCCTACAGCAAAACAAAACAAAACAAAACAAAACAAAAAGCAAATGTCATCAAGAGTGGACAAGAAGCAAAAGAAATACTTACATTTGTCTTTACTAAGTGGCAAACTACACAAGTAAAGTACTGCAGTTTTATACACACAGAGACACAGAGATGCAGGGCTTCGAAAAAGCCATGGAGTGTGTGTATCATGAACAAGAAAACATGGGTGGATTTCAGGATTTTTTGTATCAAAATAAACTCTTACTTTAATTTCATTTCTCCAAGAACACTCGGAAGCGTCTGTAGAGGTCCAGAAAGTCCCTGAGGTCCAGAACAGCCGTCCACGGCTGCTCCCATGCATGATAGCATCTGAGAGACCCAGGTTCAGAACAGAACAGCCCAGAGGAGACACAAAGCTCATAGCTGTTATTGGTAGGAAGGTATGTTTAAATGCACGTGTGGTTGAAGATCATACTTCACGTCTATCTACTCTAACAGTTACATTTTCTAAGCTTTGTAGAATTGAGTTACATGAAGACACGGGGATTCTAAGATGCGAAGCTAGCAATGTGGCCAGGGCCTTGGTACACCCATGCCACCAGTACAGTCGGATTCTGCCGCAGATCGAGGTGCCTGTGTATCCGTCAAACTCAGCCTCGAGGCTTTGTGTTAACTTCACATGCTGAGCTCAGAACATGTACAAAAGTGTCCAAGGCAGAAATTATTTCCAATAACCTAACTGTCCACCCAGAGCCTCCCGGAACGATCAGGATGAATTAGAGTATAACCTCAGATGGAAAAAAGGGAGCGTACGTCATCCCAGGTAAGAACGAGGCCTAGCGTGTCTCCAGGCAGCAGCCACGTGTGCCTCAGGCCTCTGACACCCTAATGCATGAGCCAGAGCAGTGAGACTGGAAGAGCAGGACTGTCACGTGATCTGGTTCCCCACCGAGATTCTGCTCTGTGAGTAACGGGACAGCAGAGAAATGCTCACAGGCTATGTACTGAGCAGCAGCGACGGCCGCCTTCATCCACCTGCCTCTTACAGCTACTCCACACCTGATGGTCAAAAGCTCTAACACAAATAAATCCTTTTTTATAATTTTTAGAGAGAGGTTTTTGTTATAGGGCCTTCGCGCTTGCCAGAGAGACAGAGAGAAGCAGAGAGGCAGAGAGTGAGGAACCATCCCGCAGGGGGAATGGCCATGCTGCAATCACTTCTCCTCCCAGGTCTTGGACACACACGCACCCCGCGTTGGGTTTTAAGCAGCTGCATGCGGAACTCGAACTGCAGTCGACTATGTGGGAGTCCGGAGATGTAAGCATTTACACCTTCTGCTGGTCCCAGTACAAATAAATTCTTAAAAAACCAAGTGTGTACAGTTCTGGAGTGAAGCAGTAAGCCACAGACCACATGCCAGTATGCCACTCAGTCCCACCACCAGAAAGAAGAGAGATGCACAACCGATGAACAAGGCCCACACTGGGAGTGGAGGAGGCAACAGCCCAGGAATGGGAGGCAGGCACTGTGTGCTCACATGAGCACATACACACAAGGGCCTACCCGGTGGCTCGTCACCTGACTGCTGGAGATGCTGGAAAGAAGCTCAAGCATGTCCTAGTCTAGGCCCTGCTCCTCGCAGGCCTCGCAGATGCAGCATGGCCTCCCACATGCCCTGCCGGCTCCATGCAGGCAAGCCTGGCCCTCAGCTAAAGAAGGAAGTAGGTCCCAGCATTTTCTAGCAAAACACCAGCTGTACTCCCGAAGCCCCGCAATGGGGAACAGCACGTCCCCTCGCTGTGAGCACCCTCAACGCTGTTCCCAACCGTCTGCTCGAAGCTTCCTGAGAGGGATGAGCCGAGATGACTGCTGACCTGCAATCGCGTTCACGAGGGATTATCTGAGTACTTCTCTGCTGCTGTGTTCCATCACGGTAGAGCATCGGAGAAGCACATCTTCAAACCGATACATGCAGGTGTGTTTGCAGCCCCGGGGGTCAGGCTGATGTGACAAACAACCAGCTCAGGTGTCAGTATCTTTCACAGACGTGCTGGTCCCAGATAATGGTTCATTGTCCTCACATGCAAAGACAGGTTTGCTCGCTCTTCGCTTACTCAGGGTCTCCCCTGCTACACCGCCTCACTGCCCTGTCTCTAGACGGGTGTCTGTCAGTGGTGCAGGCTCCTCTCCGTGAGCGCCGTGTACAGGCGTGTCTGCTCCTGGAGGCTGTGCTGGGAAACACTCTGTGGGCGCCCTCACGGGCTCCCACCTTTCTCTCCGTCTGTGATGAAGGCATAGAACGTTAACCCTACGGTCAAGGCGTCATCAGTCCCTCTCTCACTCCCTGGTGCGACCATCACTGTGAGGCCCGTGAGCATTTAGTCCGGTTTCAATTGTTTCATTGTATTATTATTTAATAACTGTAATATAAATTACACATGCACACATGCGCACACATAGAATTCCTTTCCAGGAATATAGCTGGATGATAAATAAATTAAAAATAATAGAGAGATTGTCTTATTCTTTTAAAAATTATTTATTAAGAATTATTTATTATTATTATTATTTTAAATTTTGCTATAGGGCAATGTGCTCACCAGACAGAGACAGAGAGAGAGGAAAAGTGAGAAAGCAAGCTGCCAGGTGCGGGGCTCAATCCCTGTCTGCCACATGGGAGTCCAGCACCCTAACCACCACGCCACCTGCTGGCCCGGAGATCATCTTATTCTTGAGGAGAGTCTTTCAGCACTGTTTGGGTGTGGCTCCCAACCAATTTTTCCAGAATAGCTTCCAGAATCACCATGCTTTGTTCTGGCCCAAGATCAGGCTTCTTGCTGTAACGGAATGTTAAAGTATAGAGTGTGACTAAGCCCCAGTGGTGTCCTCTATCTAGGGCAGAACAACCTCCCTCTGGCAATGTATGCTGGTTTGCTTCTCAGTTATTAATTTCCAAAGACATTACATAAATATTTTATGATAATATTTAAGATATTATCTGGCAGAAATGAAAGCAATGCTAATCTTTAATTCACTTCAGCATGTTTTGCATAAACAAAATGTTAGCCACCAAATAGAATGTTTTTCATGTTTTTGCCAAAGGGCACATGCACTCTCCTTAGAGACAGGGAGACAGTGAGAAGAAAAGCAAGACGCCATCTCTTAGGGAGGATGGCCACACCACAATCCCTCCTCCTCATTCTCCCTCTGGAATTTGGGGCACGCATGCACACGTGCCCGGCTTCCAAGCCCTTCTCAGCAGTGGTTGGCTTCTAGGTCATGAGTCAGAGCACAATGGGACATGCACTGTTACACTTTCTTCTGGGGCCAGCAGGCGTGGTGGTCAGGGCACCGGACTCCCGCTTGGCTACCTGCAGTTTGGGTCCCAGATCTGGAGGCTTGAAAATCCATCAGCACGTGTGTGTCAGTGCCCAGAAACCCAGGAGAATGGAGAAGGGACTCCAGCGTAGCCATTCCCCTGGGGGGCAGTTTCTCACTTTCCCTCCCATTGACTCTCTCTGGTGAGCACAGAAGTCCTATGGCAAAAACCTTTAAAAAAAAAAAAAAAAGTTTCTGGGACCAGCAGGTGGTGTGGTGGTTAAGGTGCTGGACATTCCCACATGGCTGACCATGGTTCAGATCCTGAACCTGGTGGCTTGCTTTCTCACTTTCCCTCTCTCTCTCTGCATGTGTCTCTCTGGTCAAATTAAAATAAATGAATAAAATTAAATCATTGTTTTAAAAAAAAGTTTCTTTCCTTTGTGAGTGAGAGAGACAGAGCAAGCAAGAGAGAAAGAGCGATCGCTCTCAGGTCGTGACCCACCCGTGCCCTAGTTGGTCCCTCCTTGGCACACGTGAGCCCGGGGTAAGGGAGGTCTCCAGGCACGGCCCGGAGACCTTCCCACCAGGTCAGCCTCACGGTGTGGCGTCCTGCCCTGCGGTGCCCTGGCCCCTCCACAGTGGACATAAAAAAGTTTCTGGGACCAGCAGGTGGTGTGGTGGTT